TGTGTATAGTTTGTTGTCTCTGCATTTGTCCTGTGTATAGTTTGTTGTCTCTGTATTTGTCCTGTGTATAGATTGTTGTCTCTGTATTTGTCATGTGTATAGATTGTTGTCTCTGTTTTTGTCCTTTTTATAGTTTGTTGTCTCTGTATTTGTCATGTGTATAGTTTGTTGTCTCTGTATTTGTCCTGTGTACAGTTTGTTGTCTCTGTATTTGTCCTGTGTATAGTTTGTTGACCCTGTTTATATCGTGTATTGTTCAATGTCTGTGTATGTGGCATGTGTATAGTTTGTTGTCTGTGTATTTGTCCTGTGTATAGTTTTTTGTCTCTGTATTTGTCCTGTGTATAGTTTGTTGTCTTTGTATTTGTCAAGTGTATAGTTTATTGTCTCTGTATTTGTCCTGTGTATAGTTTGTTGTCTCTGTATTTGTCCTGTTTATAGTTTGTTGTCTCTGTATTTGTCCTGTGTACAGTTTGTTGTCTCTGTATTTGTCCTGTGTATAGATTGTTGTCTCTGTCTTTGTCATGTGTATAGATTGTTGTCTCTGTTTTTGTCATGTGTATAGTTTGTTGTCCCTGTTTATATCGTGTATTGTTCAATGTCTGTGTATGTGGCATGTGTATAGTTTGCTGTCTCTGTATTTGTCCTGTGTATAGTTAGTTGTCTCTGTATTTGTCCTGTGTATAGTTTGTTGTCTTTGTATTTGTCAAGTGTATAGTTTATTGTCTCTGTATTTGTCCTGTGTATAGTTTGTTGTCTATGTATTTGTCATGTTTATAGTTTGTTGTCTCTGTTTTTGTCATGTGTATAGTTTGTTGTCCCTGTTTATGTCGTGTATTGTTCAATGTCTGTGTATGTGGCATGTGTATAGGTTGTTGTCTGTGTATTTGTCCTGTGTATAGTTTTTTGTCTCTGTATTTGTCCTGTGTATAGTTTGTTGTCTTTGTATTTGTCAAGTGTATAGTTTGTTGTCTCTGTATTTGTCCTGTGTATAGTTTGTTGTACCGGTATCTGTCATGTGTATAGTTTGTTATCTCTGTCTTTGTTTTGTGTATAGTTTGTTGTCTCTGTATTTGTCCTGTGTACAGTTTGTTGTCTCTGTATTTGTCCTGTGTATAGTTTGTTGTCTTTGTATTTGTCATGTGTATAGTTTGTTGTCTCTGTATGTGGCATGTGTATAGTTTGTTGTACCTGTATGTGTCATGTGTTTAGTTTGTTGTCTCTGTATTTGTCCTGTGTCTAGTTTGTTGTACCTGTTTGTGTCATGTGTATAGTGTGTTGTCTCTGTATTTGTCCAGTGCAAGTTTGTTGTACCTGTATGTGTCATGTGTTTAGTTTGTTGTCTCTGTATTTGTCCTGTGTACAGTTTGTTGTCTCTGTATTTGTCCTGTGTTTAGTTTGTTGTACCTGTTTGTGTCATGTGTATAGTGTGTTGTCTCTGTATTTGTCCTGTGCAAGTTTGTTGTACCTGTATGTGTCATGTGTATAGTTTGTTGTCTATGTATATGTCATGTTTATAGTTTGTTGTCTCTGTATTTGTTATGTGTATAGTTTGTTGTCTCTGTATTTTTCATGTGTATAGTTTGTTGTCCCTGTTTATATCGTGTATTGTTCAATGTCTGTGTATGTGGCATGTGTATATTTTGTTGTCTCTGTATTTGTCCTGTGTATAGTTTGGTCTCTCTGTATTTGTCCTGTGTATAGATTGTTGGCTCTGTATTTGTCCTGTGTATAGTTTGTTATCTCTGTATTTGTCTTGTGTATAGTTTGTTGTCTCTGTATTTGTCCTGTGTATAGTTTGTTGTCTCTGTATTTGTCATGTGTATAGTTTGTTGTCTCTGTTTTTGTCCCGTGTATAGATTGTTGTCTCTGTTTTTTGTTTTGTGTATAGTTTGTTGTCTCTGTATTTGTCCTGTGTATAGTTTGTTATCTCTGTATTTGTCTTGTGTATAGTTTGTTGTCTCTGTAGTTGTCCTGTGTATAGTTTGTTGTCTCTGTATTTGTTTTGTGTATAGTTTGCTGTCTCTGTATTTGTCATGTTTATAGTTTGCTGTCTCTGTATTTGTCCTGTGTATAGTTTGTTGTACCTGCATTTGTCGTGAGTATAGTTTGTTGTCTCCGTATCTGTCCTGTGTATAGTTTATTGTCTTTGTTTGTGTGATGTGTTTGTTTTTCTTTGTTTAGTTATTTCTCGAGGTACTCATTGAATTGTTTACATCAATTATTAGAGTTTGCCAAATGAAGTGGTTATATGTCTACGCTGGTGTGCATGCAGTTTATCAAGACAATGCGACTCCTCATGTTTACCTTCGTTCAAAAATTATCTTAATACTCGAAAACATAAAAGCCAACTAGATTTTATTCGTGCAACAAAGATTATTGATTAATATTTTTATATTAAGCTGCGCGAGTCATCGAAAAGTAAAATGGTTACTTCATTAATCCCATATTTGATAAACCCGTATGCGGTAATAATAACATCGACTGCCTTTTATAGGATATTTATCTTTGTGACGTCATTAAGTATGTTGAAACATGAACCCGTAAGGTGCGCTATATTTCTGATACTATCACAAGTATCCTTAGCCGTGTACATAACCGGATAACATATTACTAGTGTGTATCAATACTGTTTGAAAATTTTGATACAAAATTTTGGACGAAGGAGATCTTATGCAAGGTCCGCAATTCTTCAAGATTAGTTATACAGAAATCCAAAAAAGAAGCTTTGGTAAGTTTGAAGATGTATTTTTTCTTGAGATTTTTTAAATATATCATTTAAAATAAAACTTTTCTCATACTATTGATACATAATTTAATATAAATATTCATTATTTTTCTCTCCAGTTTTTCTATACACGTAGATCAAATGTAAAACTATCATATGTTTTCGCTACTACGTTTTATACATATTAATATTTGCTGAAGTTTATGTCGCAGATCGTAAGATTATATCCGATTATATTGTTGACAATATCGTTGTTGAGTTAAGTGGCATTATATTGTTTACAATGTTGTTGGGAAGTTCAATGATATGATATGGTTACAAATATTGTTGTTGAATAAAGTGGCATTAAATTGTTGACAAATTCGTCGTTGATTTAAGTTGCCATTTTATGGTTGACATTATCGCAGTTGAGTTAAGTGGCATTTTACTGTAGACAATATCAATGTTGAGTTAAGTGGCATCATATGGTGAACAATATCGTTGTTAAGTTTAGTGGCATTATATGGTTAAAAAAAATGTTGTTGATTTCGGTGGCATGATATGGTCGACAATATCGTTGCTGAGTTAAGTGGTGTTATACTGCTGACAATATCGTTGTTGAATTCGGTGGCATGATGTGGTTTACAATATTGTTGTTGAGTTCAGTGGCATGATGTGGTTTACAATATTGTTGTTGAGTTCAGTTGCATGATATGGTCAACAATATCGTTGTGGAGTTAAGTGGTGTTATACTGCTGACAATATCGTTGTTGAATTCAGTGGCATGATGTGGTTTACAATATTGTTGTTGAGTTCAGTGGCATGATGTGGTCGACAATATCGTTGTTGAGTTAAGTGGTGTTACATTGCTGACAATATCGTTGTTGAATTCAGTGGCATGATGTGGTTACAATATAGTTGTTGAATTCAGTGGCATGATGTGGTTACAATATCGTTGTTGAATTCAGTGGCATGATGTGGTTACAATATTGTTGTTGAATTCAGTGGCATAGTGGTTTACTATATCGTTGTTGAGTTACGTGACATTTTATGATTGACAACACCATTGTTAAGTTAAGTGACATTATTTGTTTTAAAATGTTGTTGTGCAGTTCAGTGACATTATATGGTTTTAAATATCGTTGTGCAATTCAGCGGAGTTTGATGGGAAAAGGTAAACGTCATTCAAAGTGTTTTCTCTTACCTAATGTCTTGTTCTCACATGACTACGGTATCACTCAATGAGTACCTCGTATGCAATTATGTTCAATAGCTTATTGTGATGTGTAAAGCTGAATGAAATAAAGTGTCACAAAACGGTAGTTCGAACTCAGAATTGATAAAACTAGGAAAGCATATGCAACGAGGAAAGTTTTACATGGAAACGTTTAGAAAAGTACAAACAAGGTAAGACCATATGTTCCGGGAGGGTAAGCGTCATAAAACACGTGGAAGATCCTAGTTAACATCATCCCAATTGCTCCATAGGAGGTTATTAGTCTTTATCATTTATTTGTGAACACCAAATAAAATTGCATAGCAGGCAAGATATAATCATATGTGTCATTAAACTCGTACAACCATTTACACCCGGTATAATCTAACCATAGACCTACAGCTCGATTTTGAGTTTTGTTTTTAGTTTCGTTTAAGCTTTCTTGTGTTTTTCAAGGATCTCTTTGTACAACTGGGATTTATTCATAATTTGTCGCGGTTACATCGAATTTAAATTAAAAATTAAAGATTTATTTTGTGGAGTCACCGTTAAGGGCCTGTCACACACTACCGATATACCTCGCCGGGGCTAAAAAGGATCAGACTATTTACAACGGCGAGAATATCGACAGAGCTCCGGCAAGAAAGCACTTAACAAATTAAAATTTACCATATCAATACCAATGTAGTACCGGCGTTCCCGTTCTGATACCGATATAAGAGCCGATGTGCTACCGAATACCACTTTTCTGACACCTCAGTGTTACCGATGAGCCGTCTTTGTTCTACCGATGAGCTGCCGTTGTTCCACCGATGAGCCGCCAATGTTTTACCGATATGCCACCGTTGACCGGAGCTATAGCGGAGTGATATCGTTGCGCTGCCGATGTTACGGTAGTACATCGGCGGCGCATCAGTACTACAATGGTGGTAATCGGTAGTAGTACGTATACGGTATCACATTGGTACTGATGTAGTACACATTGAGGCCACTTGAGAGCCGCCGGTCCATTACGGTGCGTTACCGGTGTTCCACAGACCGGACTACTGCCAATGGACTCGCTCCGGCAGCGCAACGGCGGAAACTTCTTTTGAGCAAGTTCATTTTTTTTTGTCCACCGTCGCCTGCCATTGTTAAATGTGTTGCCGATGTTCTGACGATATACTGCCGTTCTTATCGCTGTGGTACCGTTACGCTGCCGTACTAGTACCGATCTCCGAAAATTGCCAAATTGGTGCTCCGGTATATAGCTCCGGCGGCCCAAATCGACTAGTTATGACAGGCCCTTTAGTCTTTCTGTATCCTTTGGTGTTTTAATGATTTATAGTGCACGATGTTTTTGTATATTGAAATGTCATGTATATTTAGAGTGATTCAACTGTCAAGATGAAAAGTCGTGAAAATGTGTCAACATGCGTCTGTTTTAATACATCAAAGATAAAAATATAAATCTGAAGCTGATTTGAAGTATTAGAGATAGAAACATGTTAATGTGAAGCTGATTTGATACAATAAAGATAAAATACGTCAATATGAAGCTAATTCAATGCATTAACTATAAAATATGTCAATGTGAAGCTGATTAAATATATAATAGATAAAATATGTCAGTGTGAAGCTGATTTAATACATTACAGATAAAATATGTCAATATGAAGCTAATTTAATGAATTAAATATACAAAATGTCAATGTGAAGCTGATTAAATATATTACAGATAAAATATGTCAATATGAAGCTAAATTATAACATTAAACATAAAATATGTCAATGTGAAGCTGATTTAATACATTACAGATAAAATATGTCAATATGAAGCTAGTTTAATGCATTAAATATACAAAATGTCAATGTGAAGCTGATTAAATATATTACAGATAAAATATGTCAATATGAAGCTAAATTATAACATTAAACATAAAATATGTCAATGTGAAGCTGATTAAAAACATAAAAGATAAAATGTGTCAATATGAAGCTAATTTAGTACTTTAATATGAAATATGTCAATGTGATGCTGATAAGTCAATGTTAACCTGATTAACTACATTATAGAAAAAAAAAATGCTATGTGAAATTGTTTAAATACATTAAATATAAAATATGTCGATGTGAAGCTGATTAAACATATAACAGATAAAATATGTCAATATGAAGCTGATGAAACATATTACAGATAAAATATGTCAATGTGAAGCTGATTAAATACATTACAGATAAAAAATGTGTCAATATGAAGCTGATTAAATACAATAAATATAAAATATGTCAATGTGAAGCTGATTAAATACATTAAATATAAAATGTGTCAATGTGAAGCTGATTAAACATATTACAGATAAAATATGTCAATGTAAAGCTGATTAAATACATTAAATAAAAAAATGTGTCAATAAGAAGCTGATTAAATACAATAAATATAAAATATATCAATGTGAAGCTGATTAAAAATATTACAGATAAAATATGTCAATGTAAAGCTGATTAAATACACTAAATATAAAATGTGTCAATATGAAGCTGATTAAATACATTAAATATAAAATATGTCGATGTGAAGCTTATTAAACATATTACAGATAAAATATGTAAATGTGAAGCTGATTAAATACATTACGGATAAAAGGTGTCAATATGAAGCTGATTAAACTTATTACAGATAAAATATGTCAATGTGAATTTGCTTAAATACATTAAATATAAAATGTGTCAATATGAAGCTGATTAAAAACAATAAATATAAAATGTGTCAATATGAAGCTGATTAAAAACATTATAGATAAAATGTGTCGATGTGAAGCTGATTAAAAAAATTCAATATAAAATGTGTCAATATGAAGCTGATTAAATACATTAAATATAAAATGTGTCAATATAAAGCTGATTAAACATATTACAGATAAAATGTGTTAAAGTGAAGCTGAATAAATACATTACAGATAAAATATGTCAATATGAAGCTGATTAAATACAATAAATATAAAATATGTCAATGTGAAGCTGATTAAATACATTAAATATAAAATGTGTCAATGTGAAGCTGATTAAACATATTACAGATAAAATATGTCAATGTAAAGCTGATTAAATACATTAAATATAAAATGTGTCAATATGAAGCTGATTAAATACAATAAATATAAAATATGTCAATGTGAAGCTGATTAAAAACATTAAATATAAAATGTGTCAATGTGAAGCTGATTAAACATATTACAGATAAAATATGTCAATGTAAAGCTGATTAAATACATTAAATATAAAATGTGTCAATATGAAGCTGATTAAATACAATAAATATAAAATATGTCAATGTGAAGCTGATTAAAAATATTACAGATAAAATATGTCAATGTAAAGCTGATTAAATACACTAAATATAAAATGTGTCAATATGAAGCTGATTAAATACATTAAATATAAAATATGTCGATGTGAAGCTTATTAAACATATTACAGATAAAATATGTAAATGTGAAGCTGATTAAATACATTACGGATAAAAGGTGTCAATATGAAGCTGATTAAACTTATTACAGATAAAATATGTCAATGTGAATTTGCTTAAATACATTAAATATAAAATGTGTCAATATGAAGCTGATTAAAAACAATAAATATAAAATGTGTCAATATGAAGCTGATTAAAAACATTATAGATAAAATGTGTCGATGTGAAGCTGATTAAAAAAATTCAATATAAAATGTGTCAATATGAAGCTGATTAAATACATTAAATATAAAATGTGTCAATATAAAGCTGATTAAACATATTACAGATAAAATGTGTTAAAGTGAAGCTGAATAAATACATTACAGATAAAATATGTCAATATGAAGCTGATTAAATACAATAAATATAAAATATGTCAATGTGAAGCTGATTAAATACATTAAATATAAAATGTGTCAATGTGAAGCTGATTAAACATATTACAGATAAAATATGTCAATGTAAAGCTGATTAAATACATTAAATATAAAATGTGTCAATATGAAGCTGATTAAATACAATAAATATAAAATATGTCAATGTGAAGCTGATTAAAAACATTAAATATAAAATGTGTCAATGTGAAGCTGATTAAACATATTACAGATAAAATATGTCAATGTAAAGCTGATTAAATACATTAAATATAAAATGTGTCAATATGAAGCTGATTAAATACAATAAATATAAAATATGTCAATGTGAAGCTGATTAAAAATATTACAGATAAAATATGTCAATGTAAAGCTGATTAAATACACTAAATATAAAATGTGTCAATATGAAGCTGATTAAATACATTAAATATAAAATATGTCGATGTGAAGCTTATTAAACATATTACAGATAAAATATGTAAATGTGAAGCTGATTAAATACATTACGGATAAAAGGTGTCAATATGAAGCTGATTAAACTTATTACAGATAAAATATGTCAATGTGAATTTGCTTAAATACATTAAATATAAAATGTGTCAATATGAAGCTGATTAAAAACAATAAATATAAAATGTGTCAATATGAAGCTGATTAAAAACATTATAGATAAAATGTGTCGATGTGAAGCTGATTAAAAAAATTCAATATAAAATGTGTCAATATGAAGCTGATTAAATACATTAAATATAAAATGTGTCAATATAAAGCTGATTAAACATATTACAGATAAAATGTGTTAAAGTGAAGCTGAATAAATACATTACAGATAAAATATGTCAATATGAAGCTGATTAAATACAATAAATATAAAATATGTCAATGTGAAGCTGATTAAATACATTAAATATAAAATGTGTCAATGTGAAGCTGATTAAACATATTACAGATAAAATATGTCAATGTAAAGCTGATTAAATACATTAAATATAAAATGTGTCAATATGAAGCTGATTAAATACAATAAATATAAAATATGTCAATGTGAAGCTGATTAAAAACATTAAATATAAAATGTGTCAATGTGAAGCTGATTAAACATATTACAGATAAAATATGTCAATGTAAAGCTGATTAAATACATTAAATATAAAATGTGTCAATATGAAGCTGATTAAATACAATAAATATAAAATATGTCAATGTGAAGCTGATTAAAAATATTACAGATAAAATATGTCAATGTAAAGCTGATTAAATACACTAAATATAAAATGTGTCAATATGAAGCTGATTAAATACATTAAATATAAAATATGTCGATGTGAAGCTTATTAAACATATTACAGATAAAATATGTAAATGTGAAGCTGATTAAATACATTACGGATAAAAGGTGTCAATATGAAGCTGATTAAACTTATTACAGATAAAATATGTCAATGTGAATTTGCTTAAATACATTAAATATAAAATGTGTCAATATGAAGCTGATTAAAAACAATAAATATAAAATGTGTCAATATGAAGCTGATTAAAAACATTATAGATAAAATGTGTCGATGTGAAGCTGATTAAAAAAATTCAATATAAAATGTGTCAATATGAAGCTGATTAAATACATTAAATATAAAATGTGTCAATATAAAGCTGATTAAACATATTACAGATAAAATGTGTTAAAGTGAAGCTGAATAAATACATTACAGATAAAATATGTCAATATGAAGCTGATTAAATACAATAAATATAAAATATGTCAATGTGAAGCTGATTAAATACATTAAATATAAAATGTGTCAATGTGAAGCTGATTAAACATATTACAGATAAAATATGTCAATGTAAAGCTGATTAAATACATTAAATATAAAATGTGTCAATATGAAGCTGATTAAATACAATAAATATAAAATATGTCAATGTGAAGCTGATTAAAAACATTAAATATAAAATGTGTCAATGTGAAGCTGATTAAACATATTACAGATAAAATATGTCAATGTAAAGCTGATTAAATACATTAAATATAAAATGTGTCAATATGAAGCTGATTAAATACAATAAATATAAAATATGTCAATGTGAAGCTGATTAAAAATATTACAGATAAAATATGTCAATGTAAAGCTGATTAAATACACTAAATATAAAATGTGTCAATATGAAGCTGATTAAATACATTAAATATAAAATATGTCGATGTGAAGCTTATTAAACATATTACAGATAAAATATGTAAATGTGAAGCTGATTAAATACATTACGGATAAAAGGTGTCAATATGAAGCTGATTAAACTTATTACAGATAAAATATGTCAATGTGAATTTGCTTAAATACATTAAATATAAAATGTGTCAATATGAAGCTGATTAAAAACAATAAATATAAAATGTGTCAATATGAAGCTGATTAAAAACATTAGAGATAAAATGTGTCGATGTGAAGCTGATTAAAAAACTCAATATAAAATGTGTCAATATGAAGCTGATTAAATACATTAAATATAAAATGTGTCAATATAAAGCTGATTAAACATATTACAGATAAAATGTGTTAAAGTGAAGCTGAATAAATACATTACAGATAAAATATGTCAATATGAAGCTGATTAAATACATAACAGATAAAATATGTCAATATGAAGCCGATTAAACATATTATAGATAAAATATGTCAATGTGAAGCTGATTTCATCTTTCGTACATGTCTATACCCTCCTCAGCTTGAAATGAAGGACAGTGCTGACTCTTTTACATGAGCTGCTTTCATCGATCTTTAGTTACAACATGACCAACTTTGACGGCTTCCTAATGTAAATCTCAGATAAGCTGGACGACTTTGCATTTCATGATAGTCATATCCTTGTTTCCATACCTCTTGTGTTTACATATCGCAGTTGTATCGGTATTCAAGAGCTTGCCCCAATATCACAATATCCTAAATAGAGGTCAGCTGCTGGCAGACACATTTGCAACACAGGGGTTCCAAAGATGCAGGCTGATCAGGACTATGGGCTAGTTTTACGTGCGCCATCATCATCTCATAGGGAAATGTGCTTTTTATTTGTGTGATATGAAGGTGATTTGTATTAACCTCCTAATTGTGTCATGCTGTTATGTTGTCAATACCCGAGTTATCGATGTGAAGACACAAAATTACTAGATTTGCATGGCTTGTGTCATCGATGCAGCAGAAAACGCTTATCCTCCTGGAACGCCTTGTCTTATCCTCCTTGTTCTTTTTTAAGGGTCTCCATGTACATATTTAAATTGTTCGTATTCTCTCTAGTTTTAACAATTTTAAGTTCACTTTATGTTTTTTGTTTGCACTTCGGTTTTCTCTTGTTTTTTATGTATACGTACGTGTACTTGTCAATTGAGTTCCGCATACTTTGGCAGTATTTCATACTATGTTAACGTTACGTCATGATTCCGTTCTTGACGTCATTTTGCCAATCATCATTGTTGATATTATTATATATTTTCGGAGCGCAAAAACTGAGAATAGAATTATAAAGAAAGATTGAACGCCCTTTCCCCAACATACCCGGTATAGTTTCATGTTTGATTTTATAGTCATTAATGATCTGATATATGCTTTTACATATATTTCATATTTTTAAGCATTGTTATCAACAGTACACACAAGATTCCTGGAACAGCCTAATGTCACCAAGATGTTTTCTCTAAACGGTTATCTAAAGGTCGAGGCGGGAGGGGAAGCTTCAAGATGACACTGATCGAATTGCATATTTTAACGTTTTCGCAAAAATGCTTGACCATGTGTTAAAGGAATTTTACATTCGTGTCCATTTCTCATGAGAATTATAAAGATCGTCACAAGTCATATGCTCGCTAAATAAAACAAAAGTTTTTAGACTCGCTTCATAAATCTCAAGTGAAGTGGAAAATTACGTAAGATCCTATTCATACAGTCTCAATGTTAATCTTTTATTACCTCGCAGTGTAAACAAGAGGGAGAGAAGCCAGGTCGCTGTCCAACATGCGATTCCACCGTAAGTACAAAACACACCTCTCTCGGACGTAAACAGATAAATCACACCAATGTTTGAACGCCCGACATTTAGCAAATATAATTAATCCTCTCGCGAACCATTCTCTTAGATATTTCCCCCAATTTCTCCCTAGGTAAAACCTTTCCGACAATAAATAAAGGGTTTTATTTGCTGCTTATTTATTTATAATGTAGTTAAAAAAGTATTTCACACACAGGTAACAAGCAATGTTATTGAATTTGTACAACATTGTAACCAAATATGTAATTTGTGACTAACTGGTTACTATATATAGCTAGTATCATGTAGTGAATTGGTGTTATTCAATCCTCTGAATGGCCGTTGATCGGGTCCTTAATTTCTTGTATTATTCATCAAAACAAACTTTAAACTTAATGGTGTAGTTAATACGTAACATTTGTTTAAATATGGGTTCCTTTCTGATTTTCTTTCTGATATTTGCACTTTATACCAAATTTGATCTTTCCAATACATCTAGCACTGTGTGTCGAAACTCAATATATTTCGTCATGATATCTCACTGTTTTTAGACTTCTAAATTTCTACTGGACGAAATGAATTTACGTTTTACTTTTCACGATTACTTTGATATGATAGTAAAATCTACACGGTACTAAAACATTTAAGTACATATTTTTGTGATCTGCAGTCGACTGTGAAAGTAAACTACGGTTACTTTAAACATGAACTGTAATTTGTATTCTCCAATATAAAATCAAAATTGTGATCATGCAGGCGACTTAAATATCTCAGAATCACCAGGAACACATCATCAACAGTTACAGTTTTTAAGATCGCCTCGGATTTCATCGAACGGAACAATAATCAAATATAAACCTTGTATCTCTTATATAATCTTTGTATGCATTTTAATAGTTATTCATCATTTAGGGTGGAAAAAGTCACGATAGGCAATTAAGTGATCCAACTCTTGCTTCTGAATACTGTAAAATTGTTAAATTTCGAGGAGGGGGATTAATTTCGCTGTATTACCATGAATATCAAAACATACAAAAAAGACCCGTTTACGCTTTGGTTACAGAATAATGAATTTATAAAAACACCAATTCAATATCGTTTTTCCATTTTTTTGACAAACACTTGTGTTAAAGAAATCCTATCACCCCGACACAAAAAATACCCTCGTGAGCGCGATATTTTTACCTAGTGATGTTGCGCGAAATTTAGGTCCCGCGAAATAGTTCTGAGCAGGACAACGGCAAAATATTATCCTGGCAAAATTGAAAAGTTCTTCCCTTTTAGATGACTACGACATCAACGTCATTTTTGTATGACTGATAAGCCAAGTGAAATTATTTACCAAATAAGAAATACAACATCAGAAAAGTGTATATAAGGAAAAATTTCAACCAAAAATAGTGACATTATCTCGAGATATCGGATATCGAAAACTGTGGACTATAAAATCATGAGTTACTGAAACATGCTCATTTAAATATGTTTTTGTCATTTCAGTCCTTATAACAGTATCACTGGCAATAGCCTATGGAATCACTATGATAGAACCTACTACAACAACCACACCTACTACAACAACCACAACTACTATAACAACCACTTCTACTAAAACAACAACACCTACTACAAGTACTACACCTACTAAAACAACACCTACAACAACAACAACTACACCTACTACAACAACCACACCTACTACAACAACTACACCTACTACAACAACTACTTCTACTTCAACAATTACACCTATTACAACAACTACACGTACTACAACAACGACACCTACAACAACAACCACACCTACTACAACAACCACACCTATTACAACACTTCTACTTCAACAATTACACCTATTACAACAACTACACGTACTACAACAACGACACCCACAACAACAACCACACCTACTACAACAACCACCTCTACTACAACAACCACACCTACTACAGCAACTACACCTACTACAACAACCAGACCTGCTACAACAACCACACCTACTAAAATAACCACACCTACTACAACAACCACACCTACTCCAACAACCACACCTACTACAACAACTACACCTACTAAAACAACCACACAAACTACAACAACAACACCTACTACAACAACTACACCTATTACAACAAATACACCTATTACAACAACTACACCTACTAAAACAATGACACCTACAACAACAACANACTACAACAACAACACCTACTACAACAACTACACCTATTACAACAAATACACCTATTACAACAACTACACCTACTAAAACAACGACACCTACAACAACAACCACACCTACTACAACAACCACACCTACTACAACAACCACACCTACTACAACAACTATACCTACTACAACAAGTACACCTACTAAAACAACAACACCTACAACAACAACCACACCTATTACAACAACTACACCTACTACAACAACTACTTCTACTTCAACAACTACACCTACTACAACAACTACACCTACTGCAACAACTACACCTACTACAACAAGTACACCTACTAAAACAACGACACCTACAACAACAACCACCCCTATTACAACAACTACACCTTCTACAACAACCACACCTACTACACCTACTACAACAACCACAACTACCATAACAACCACTTCTACTAAAACAACAACACCTACAACAACACCCACACCTATTACAACAATTACACCTACTACAACAACAACACCTGCTACAACAACCACCCCTACTACAACAACGACACGTACTACAACAAACACCCCTACTACAACAACCCCCCATACTACAACAACCACACCAACTACAACAACTACACCTACTGCAACAACTACCCCTACTACAACAACTACCCCTATTACAACAAATACACCTATTACAACAAATACACCTATTACAACAACTACACCGACTAAAACAACGACACCTAAAACAACAACCACACCGACTACAACAACCACACCTACTTCAACAACTACACCTACTCCAACAACTACACCTCCTACAACAACCACACCTGCTTCAACAACTACACCTCCTTCAACAACTACACCTGCTTCAACAACGACTCCTACTACAACAACGACCCCTTCTACATCAACGACCCCTACAATAACACCCACACCTACTACAACAACTATACCTACTCAACAACTACACCTACTACAACACCTACACCTACTGCAACAACTACACCTTCTACAACAACCACACCTACTACGACAACCACACCTACTACAACACCCACACCAACTACAACCACACCTACACTTACCCCTCCTACTACACCCACCTACTAAAACAACGACACCTACAACAGCCACACCTACTACAACAACTACCCATACTACAACAACTACACCTACTAAAACAACGATACCTAAAACAACAACCACACCGACTACAACAACCACACCTACTGCAACACCTACTACAACAACTACTTCTACTACAACAACTACACCTAGTACAACAACTACACCTACTAAAACAACGATACCTAAAACAACAACCACACCGACTACAACAACCACACCTACTGCAACAACCACACCTACTCCAACAACTGCACCTACCCCAGCAACTACACCTACTTCAACAACTACGCCTACTACAACAACAACACCTACTCCAACAACTACACCTACTACAACGACCACACCTACTACAACAACTCCACCTACTACACCAACTACACCTACTAAAACAACGACTCCTAAAACAACAACCACACCTACTACAACACCTACTACAACAACTACACGTACTACAACAACCACACATAACTACAACTACCACACGTATTAAAACAACCACACCTACTACAACCCTACTACAACAACTACACCTAGTACAACAACTACACCTACTAAAAAAACGACACCTACAACAACAACCACTACAACAACCACAACTACTACAACAGCCACACCTACTACAACAACTATACCTACTCAACAACTACACCTACTACAACACCTACACCTACTACAACAACTATTTCTACTTCAACAACGACACCTACAACAACCACACCAACTACAACAAATACACCTACTAAAACAACGACACCTAAATCAACAACCACACCTACTACAACAGCTACACCAATTACAACAATTACACCTATTACAACAACTACACCTACTAAAACAACGACACCTACAACAACAACCACACCTACTACAACAACCACACCTACTACAACAACCACACCTACTACAACAACTATACCTACTACAACAAGTACACCTACTAAAACAACAACACCTACAACAACAACCACACCTATTACAACAACTACACCTACTACAACAACCACACCTACTACAACAACTACTTCTACTTCAACAACTACACCTACTACAACAACTACACCTACTACAACAACTACCCCTACTACAACAACCACACCTACTACAACAACTACACCTACTACAACAAGTACACCTACTAAAACAACAACACCTACAACAACAACCACACCTATTACAACAACTACCCCTACTACAACAACCACACCTATTACAATAACCACTTCTACTACAACAACCGCACCTACTTCAACAGCTACACCTACTACAACAACCATACCTACTACAAGAAACACACCTACTACAACAACCTCCGATACTAAAACAACCACACCTACTACAACAACCACACCTACTATAACAATTACACCTACTTCAACAGTTACACCTACTACAACAAACACACCGCAACCACACCTACAACAACAACCACACCTACTACAACAACCACACCTATTACAACAACTACACCTACTACAACAACCACACCTACAACAACAACCACGCCTACTACAACAACCACACCTACTACAACAACTACACCTACTAAAACAACCACACCTACTACAACATCAACACCTACTACAACAACTACACCTATTACAACAACTACACCTACTTCAACAACTACCCCTACTACAACAACCTCAACTACTACAACAACCACACCTACTACAACAACCACACCTACTACTACAACAACTACACCTACTACAACAACTACCCCTACTACAACAACCACACCTACTACAACAACCTCACCTACTACAACAACCACCCCTACTACAACAACCACACCTACTACAACAACTATACCTACTACAACAAGTACACCTACTAAAACAACGACACCTACAACAACAACTACACCTACTACAACAAGTACACCTACTAAAACAACAACACCTACAACAACAACCACTCCTATTACAACAACTACACCTACTACAACAACCACACCTATTATAACAACCACACCTACTACAACAACCACACCTACTATAACAATTACACCTACTTCAACAGTTACACCTACTACAACAAACACACCGACTACAACAACCACACCTACTACAACAACCTCACCTACTACAACAACCACCCCTACTACAACAACCACACCTACTACAACAACCCCCCCTACTACAACAACACCTACTACAACAACCACACCTACTACAACAACCCCCCCTACTACAACAACACCTACTACAACAACCACACCTACTACAACAGCTACACCAATTACAACAATGACACATTCTATAACAACCACACCTACTACAACAACCACCCCTTCTACAACAATTACACCTACTTCAACAGTTACATCTACTACAACAAACACACCGACTACAACAACCACACCTACTACAACAACCTCACCTACTACAACAACCACACCTACTACAACAACCTCACCTACTACAACAACCACCCCTACTACAACAACTACACCTACTACAACAAGTACACCTACTACAACAACTACACCTACTTCAACAAGTACACCTACTAAAACAACCCCACCTACAACAACAACCACACCTACTACAACAACCACACCTTCTACAACAATTACACCTACTTCAACAGTTACACCTACTACAACAACCACACCTACTACAACAACCCCCCCTACTACAACAACACCTACTACAACAACCACACCTACTACAACAGCTACACCAATTACAACAATTACACATTCTATAACAACCACACCTACTACAACAACCACACCTTCTACAACAATTACACCTACTTCAACAGTTACACCTACTACAACAAACACACCGACTACAACAACCACACCTACTACAACAACCTCACCTACTACAACAACCACACCTACTACAACAACCACACCTACTACAACAACTCCACCTTCTGCCACAACCACTGCTACTACAACAATTACACCTACTTCAACAGTTACACCTACTACAACAACTACACCTACTACAACAACCACACCTGATACAACAGCCACACCTACTACAACAACGACACGTACTACATTAAACACACTTACTACAACAACCACTCATACTACAACAACAACACCTACCAAAACAACCACTCCTACTACAACAACGTCTCCAACTACAATAACCACTCCTACTACAACAACAACACATTCTACAACAACGTTTCCTACTACAACAACTACAACTTCTACAACAACCACACCTACTACAACAACTACACCTACTTCAACAACTACACCTACTAAAACAACGACACCTACAACAACAACCACACCTACTACAACAACCACACCTACTAAAACAACCACATCTACTACAACAACCACACCTACTACAACAACCACATCTACTACAACAACCAAACCTACTACAACAACTACACCTACTACAACAACCACACCTATTACAATAACCACTTCTACTACAACAACCACACCTACTTCAACAGCTACACCTACTACAACAACCATACCTACTACAAGAAACACACCTACTACAACAACCACCTCTACTAAAACAACCACACCTACTACAACAACCACACCTACAACAACAACCACACCTACTACAACAACCACCTCTACTACAACAACCACACCTACTACAGCAACTACACCTACTACAACAACCAGACCTGCTACAACAACCACACCTACTAAAATAACCACACCTACTACACCTACTAAAACAACGACAACAACCACACCTACAACAACAACCACACCTACTACAACAACCACTCCTACTACAACAACCTCACCTACTACAACAACCACACCTACTACAACAACTACACATTCTACAACAACCACTGCTACTACAACAATTACACCTACTTCAATAATAACACCTACTACAACAACTACACCTTCTACAACAACCACACCTGCTACAACAACAACACCTACAACAACAACCACACCTACTACAACAACGACACGTACTACAACAAACACACCTACTACAACAACCACCCATACTACAACAACCACACCAACCACAACAACCACTCCTGCTACAACAACGTCTCCAACTACAATAACCACTCCTACTACAACAACAACACATTCTACAACAACGTTTCCTACTACAACAACCACACCTACTACAACAACTACACCTACTACAATAACCTCACTTATTACAACAACCCCACCTACTACAAAAACCACAGCTACTCCAACAACCACCCCTGCTACAACAACGTCCCCAACTACAATAACCACCCCGACTACAACAACAACACATACTCCAACAACGTTTCCTACTACAACAACCCCACCTAATACCACAACCCCACCTACTACAACAACCACGCCTACTACAACAACTACACGTACTACAACAACCACCCCTGCTACAACAACCACACCTACTCCAACAACCACACCTACTACAACAACTACACGTACTACAACAACCACACCTTCTACAACAACTACACTTACTTCAACAACTACACCTACTACAACAACCTCACTTATTACAACAACCACACCTACTACAACAACTACACCTACTTCAACAATTACACCTACTACAACAACAACACCTGCTACAACAACCACACCTACTACAACAACCACACCTTCTACAACAACTACACTTACTTCAACAACTACCCCTACTACAACAACCTCACTTATTACAACAACCCCACCTACTACAACAACCACACCTGCTACAACAACCACACCGACTACGACAACCACACCTACTACAACAACTATACCTACTACAACAACCACACCTACTACAACAACCACACCTACTGCAACAACAACATCTACTACAATAACAATTCCTACTACCACAACTACACCTACTACAACAACCACACCAACTGCAATAGCTACACCTACTTCAACAACTACACCTGCTTCAACAACGACTCCTACTACAACAACGACACCTTCTACATCAACGACACCTACTATAACAACCACACCTACTACAACAACTATACCTACTACAACAACCACACCTTCCACAACAACCACACCTACTACAACAACCACACATACAACAACGACACCTACTAAAACAACCACTCCTACTACAACAACCACCCCTACTACAACAACCACACCTACTACAACAACTACACGTACTACAACAACCACACATACAACAACGACACCTACTAAAACAACCACTCCTACTACAACAACCACCCCTGCTACAACAACCACACCTACTACAACAACCACACCTACAACAACAACCACACCTACTACAATAACCACTACTACAACAACAACCACACCTACTACAACAACCACACCTACTACAACAACCACACCAACTACAACCACACCAACACGTACCACTCCTACTACACCCACACCTACTACAGCAACTACACCTACTACAACAACCACACCTACTACAACAACCACACCTACTACAACAACCACACTAACTACAACCACACCTACACTTACCACTCCTACTACACCCACACCTACTACAGCAACTACACCTACTACAACAATCACACTTACTACAACAACCACACCTACTACAACAACCACACCAACTACAACCACACCTACACTTACCACTCCTACTACACCCACACCTACTACAACAACCACACTTACTATAACAACCACATCTTCTTCAACAACCACACCTGCTACAACATTTAGTATTCCAACTTCTAGTACTCCATCATCTGCTATTCCTACATCTACTATTCTAACATCAACTACCCAATCATCTTCTAGTGTTACATATATTGCTCAAACATCTTCTTCTCCTTCATCTACTACTCCTACATATACTATCCTATCTACTACTCCAACATCTACTGCTCTTACATCAACTACTCCAACATCAACTACTCCAACATCTACTACTCCGACATCTACTGCTCTTACATCAACTACTCCAACATCTACTGCTCTTACATCAACTACTCCAACAACTACTGCTCCAACAACTGCTACTCCAACATCTACTGCTCCAACATCTGCTACTCCAACATCTACTTCTCCAACATCTACTTCTCCAACATCTGCTTCTCAAACAGTTACTACTCTAACATCCAGTACTCCAACATCTACTACTCCAACATCTACTTCTCCAACATCTACTGCTCCAACATCTACTACTCCAACATCTACTAATCCAACATCTACTATTCCACCAACTACTGCTCCAACATCTGCTACTCCAACATCTACTTCCCCAACATCTACTTCTCCAACATCTGCTTCTCAAACAGTTACTACTCTAACATCCAGTACTCCAACATCTACTACTCCATCATCTACTACTCCAGCATCTACTACTCCAACATCTACTACACCAACATCTACTACTCCAGCATCTACTACTCCAACATCTACTACTCCAGCATCTACTACTCCAACATCTACTATTCCAACATCTACTACTCCAACATCTACTTCTCCAACATCTACTACTCCAACATCTACTACTCCAACATCTACTAATCCAACATCTACTATTCCAACAACTACTGCTCCAACATCTGCTACTCCAACAACTACTACTCCAACATCTACTACTCCAACATCTACTACTCCAACATCTACTATTCCAACAACTACTGCTCCAACATCTACTATTCCAACAACTACTGCTCCAACATATACTTCTCCAACATCTACTGCTCCAACATCTGCTACTCCAACAACTACTGCTCCAACATCTACTACTCCAACATCTACTTCTCCAACATCTACTTCTCAAACAGTTACTACTCTAACATCCAGTCCTCTAACATCCAGTACTCCAACATCTACTGCTCTTACATCTACTACTCGTACTTCCACCATAATTACAACCATTACACCTACAACTACAACATCTGCTGCTCCACCTCCTATCACTCAGACAACGGAAACGGTTGTGCCTCTAAGTAAGTTTTAATGATTTATATTGATGAATGATTAAATTTGAATATTGAAACGAGCAATTCGCTTTGCTTAAATCGTTCTTCGTTTTAACTTCAAGTAAGTATATACCACATACACTCATAATCATAACAAAAGAAGCACTGTGAATTATGATGTTACCGTTAATAAGCAAAATGCTAAGAAAAACAATTATAATATTGGCAGATTATAGACAACATGATAGTTATTCTAAGCAATGCGAAATGCAAGAGTTCATGTTTTATCGTTATGGATCTTAACATTCAAAAGCTCAAAAAATAATACAGGCAGGATATCATTTACTAATAATTAATAAAATGTGTAAAACTTCGTTTCATTTCATCATATATTATTGAGTAAACAATAGGATTGAACAGCAGGCTAGGCCATTATAAGTTCTCTCTTTAGGTTAACATGACAAAGACAGAGATGAAACGTGTAAAACTTGTACGGAGAAAATATTCAGCATTTTCAAATAGATAAAAACGATAGTAATACATTTGATATATTCACACAAATATGGATACAGTTGAAACTGCGGTATTCATCATTTAGTGACTCTTGGTTAAAAATGCATTCGCTTTGGTCTTTATATCAAATTTATCATGATTAGAAAGGTATTTGAAAATGCTGAATAATTTTTCACTTTTAAAAAGAGCCATTTCCGAGTTGTTTTCACAGACTTAGGTGCATCGTATTTTAAATCTGTTTTTGTTTAATGTCGAGGTCAATAAATCGGTCTCTTATTGAGAGTGGTGATGTTCACCTTATTATGATATTAATATGTAGATTGCATACTTGCTCTCCAAAATAATAAAATTGTTCATGGATAAAAACAATAACTATTAAGTCACTAGATGTTCAAATAAAATAATCAAGCTTCATTGTGCAAGTGATTCAGAACGGAAACCAGGTGTTGGTTCTAGATACCTTGCAATATCCTTTTCAAATATGTTGTATTTTTAGACCGAAACCTGTTGCATCACATAATGTACTGTGTTATCCAGTGAATATACCGACGTCATATTTTGTTGTGTATTAGCCCATGTAATATGACCTATCATCCCTGTGATTGTTTGTCAGTTTCAATTGTTTCAATTGTGACGTCAGGCCTCGGACAAGTATATGTCGTCACAGACTGGCGGCTTTTTACGTTTAAAGGCTGCGTGCAAATTGTCGTTTTGCACAAATAAATGCCGCAAATCTTGATTATGTTATATATAGGATCTTACACTCGTCTTTATTTCATAAGAAATTTATAAAACTCTTCGCGAATATTTTATTTTGCTCACCAGAGGCTCGCTAAAATGAAAAATTCTTAGACTCGTTTCATTAACCTCATATGAAATGGAAACTCATGTAAGATCCTATATATGTATTAATTAAGACGATGTAATAAAGTATCAATACAATTTTCAGGTAGTCTTACCATTTCGGTCAGTCTGACTCTTGTTGTGAAGGCCGAGTTTTGTGATGATTTAAAGGATAAGAAAAGCGATTTGTATAACTCCTACGAGCAAAACTTTTTTAAGTGGGTAAGTTTATGAAGTATTTTGTTTATAGACGCCAATACTATGAGCTCACATTCTTTTCAATACAAAATAATTCCTTATAGCAATTCCAAGAAATAAAGCAAATGTTCACAATAACTCATAGTGTTATACATTTTGCCATGATGTATCTATTATCAATTGTTCTAGGTGCTATCACGTATGCATGTCTTATGCTCATTATCTACGTTTTCTTTTTAGTTATTTCCGAGGTTGAACAATACAAGTGGATTTAAGAATGTAACTATCAATGGATTTAGGTAAGTTTATAATGTATTTTGTCAGTATTTTAAAAATCAGGTCGAATACATTTCAGAAAAAAAGTATGAAATGGTCTTTTCAACAGATATTTTGTATTGTTTGTATTATTCATCTACCCAAAAGTCGCATTTTTGTGTTATGCATTTTACATTAACGTTTTTTTATGAATATCCATACAAATACAATTGTATAACTAAATCCTTTATCAATATGATACAACAAATACCATTTATAATATTTGGATGTTGTCACTTGGTTCAATACGGTATTATGTTACGTTGTAGGAATGGAAGCACTGAGTGTGACTATTATTTGGACGTTGGAGCAGACACCAGTACAAGCGATGTAAAAAACAGTCTGCAAAAAACAAACTGGACCGGAGGGATTACACTCAACGGATCAGAGCACAACATTGATGATAAAACGACCAGGAGTAAAGTGCAAAAAGCTGCCACCGACAGTAAGAAATATTTTTGGAATAAAAATACCAAAATACATGTAATTTTTCATCATGAGGAATGATTTTTTCTGTGAGAGGAAATCAAAACTGAATCTATTTTGCTGCATTACTGGGAAAACACAAAGCCTACTTTACTATTTTATTGTTAATGTTATACCGTTAAGCTGTCTTCCCTTTCATTTCGATATCTCTTTTAGTAATTCTGTTGCCACTTTAGTTTGTATATTTATCTTGTGTATGGAAAATATCAGTAATCACCTTCCTTTTTGCTCTAATACATTTTACATAACGTTAGATAAAATTGTGCTCCGCGAGCGAGCTCATGATGAATCAACTTATGATCTAGACACATGAGTTGTTTTTAACAATGATGGATTTGTTTTCTTAATAATTATATATATATACATGTATTTTTGATGCAATGTAGTTGCAAATAAGACAAAATGTGAACTGGTGCAACCCTATCCTTGCGATGTTTACCATAAATGTGTCCACAACAAAGAAAAAGAGAATTTGCACTGCAAAAACAAATGCACTCATGATGTGTGTAAGGATTATGGACAGTGCCTTCTAAAACAGTCAGGAGAGACCATATGCATGTAAGTCAAAATAAAGTCATTCAACTCGTATGCAGTACAGTTAAGTAGGCTAAGTAATGGCTTGTACCTTTAGACAACCACTGTAAACAATACATTCGGTTGCAAATGGAATGTTTTAAGGCGGACTTTGAATTAAAAGTTAGAAATTAAAGCGGTTTCGAAGAAACTGTATATCGGCTAGCCAAATGGAGTTTTTAGCATTTCATGAAACTAAGGCGTCATAAATTTTATTGACACAGCGCCGCTGACGTAAGCGTATTTCTTTTCATCTTTTAAGTGGCTGTGTATATATGTAATACTCTCGTATTTTTGCTACCGTCATTATTTTCTAGGATACAAACTGTACACTGGTGTAACTGCAGATATATTGCAAGTAAATTTATCTTATTGTTGCATTGGTTTTATACTTCACAGATAGAACTTAACAGTACACACATTAGAAAAGCGTATTTTCTTATGCAAAAACCCGTAATTAGATCCCCAAAATGGAGTTCAGGACTTGTTGCATTCACTCCGTGTCTTTTTATACTCCTTCGTCGTCGTCTCTTTCTTCTTCGTCCTCCACCGTGAGTTGTCCGACCGTTTTCTCAAAAACTAATAATAGGATTCAAATGAAACTTCGCGAGTTTCCAAATGTTCAAGCCACCTCTAATATTGCAGCTGCATATTTAAGATGGTCGTCGCAGCCTCTGATCAATTAAGAGGTGGCCAATAGTTCACTCGGAAAATACTTTCTATGAAAATTGATCTCAATATCTATGGACATGGTAACATGAAGAGAAACATTTTTCTTTGCAACTGTGCCCAGGATGGCCACGACGGCCTCTGCTTTGCCACAATTATATGTTTACAGATTTCAATCAAATTTGATATTTCGAAGTAGTATGCCATTACGAACAGCAAATATATTTCGGTTGTTATCATATATCACTGCTAGGGCTGTTTTTGGGGACTTCTGCGATGACCCCCGTTACCATAGAACTTGTTATGTATTAAAGTGAATTGTATGTGCTTGATTGTATTTTTAAATGCTCGGAATTCTTGCGACAACTAAATGTCTTTCAGATTATGATTAATTGAGGAATTGCGTACATTCCCTTTTTGATTGGATCCATTATGAGCAGTGACACTTGTATGTAGTTCTTGTCTCTTTTGATGTCTACTCTGTTTCTGTTGTTGTCTTTTATTGTGACTTTGTTTATGGACGCCGCAGTATGTTTTGTTTATTTCACTTTTAATCTAAAACAACCTCTAAATACTTCTATAATCAAATTTTAACAGATCTGTCAAATGTTGTAAGATATACAAATGGATTTGATTCGAGTAAAACATGTGATAAAATATATAAGACAAGGGAGATAAATTTCATGCATATTAATCCTGGAATTTAGCAAAATGTATTTACCGACAAATATATTTCTTTCTTGTATGCTGGATCGTATCCAACATATTATGGCCGTTTAAAATGCATTACAATCCTAGCAAAAAATAAATATTCAAACCAATCTGAATAACAAAATAAGTAAAAAGTTCATTGTATAAAGGAGCAATTAGTTTGAAAACTATTTTTCCATTTTCTTTAATAAAGATTGTAAATTTGTGATTCCAAATACTTGGTCGATGGATTAAAGTTAATTCAAAAGTGTCCGTATTGACAATAATCATGTGGAATTATTCATGACACAAAATATTGTTTCGATATTCTTGCTCATATTCTTAACTTATATGTGTTCTTAAGCATGATGCATGTCATTGGACTTATTTATAGCCTGATATAAGCATGTGTAAGTACTGGTTAAAATTTAAGAATACGTTGCCGTATTATTTTCACAAAGTAGATCGGTTTCCGGAATAGGGATGAATGTACTAAATCAGGACTGATGGTATTTTACAGATGTCATCCAGACACCATATTTGAGTATTACAGTGATCGTTGTCTGAAGTCTAGTGACCTCACAAACATTCTGGCAGTTACCGCTGGAGTAGGAGGAGCAGTGATCATCATCATCATCGTCGTCATCATATGTGTATGCAAGCAAAGGAGGACGACAAAGAAAACCCATAGTAATACAAGGCAAGTATTATATTATCGGACAGACGTCAAGGACATTGACACGTGACAAGTGACAAGTGGTCGTTTGAATTGGAAATGAGGAGTTTGCTCATGCGCCGCTGAGGTGTAGTGGTCACGTGGCGCAAAATCTTCATTTCGGTTTTTTAATTTTAAATCAAATAGTTTATGTTAATTCGTTTAACATCTACATGCAAAATGTAAACGTGCAGTATACGCGCTCGAAAAAACTTTTACTACACGGAGATGAATCTTCAGTGAAAACTTTCACCGTCTGATTATTATACATTTAATGATATGTCCTGACCCCTTGAAATATAATTTTAGTGTATTTCATAGATTGTCGAGCATTGTTATAAATGAAATAAAATTAAATGAATTAGCATCCTATGCTCAAAGTATTCGTTTAATATATCTATAACTTAATAGAAATTTTCGTTTGTATTAAATCCGTTTCTTTAAGCTTTTCTTTAAAGATATACATACAATTTGCTGTTGAAATGAATTAAGAAAATATATCATTAAAATTCATTTTCATTAATTAAACGCTATTCTATTAAGACTGTTTTGCTATCAAACATGATGATGATACTCAAAGGGGAGATAACCCGGTAAAGCTTGACTATATTTGATCTTGTTTACGTTTTTCTGCAGACATAATCGAGTTTATGGCAGTGAAATCAGCATGCCAACAAGAATGGAGAACTTGAGGGCCAATAGGGCGTACAATATTGGAGAGAGAGCTGACCGGGGACCACCAAGACGGGAACACATGGTGGGGAGTTCCGAAAATGAACGCCCGGCAGCCTATTATAACGGCTGGGAAAGTATCAGCGACCAACAAGCTGTACCGGTAAAGTCAAAGACGTCATTGAACCAATTTTTGCATTTTTTAAAATATTTTATTAAAATATAAATACAAAAAGCGTATTTTTACACTTTTTATCATAGTATTTTAAGAACCTATTTTAAAAATGATTGAATTATTTTTTTAGTTCGTTGTTGTAAGTTATTAATGTTTTCTCATTTTCACCAAAGTGTCCTCAGCTCCTGATATTGTTGTTATCTGTCAATTTTGAATTATCGATTTCGTCCGATTTGGGGGACACTGAAGTCTATTTCATGCAGACCGATGTTCACAATAGTTTATTAAAATACTAATACAATTTTTTTAACACTATTTGTATTTGTGTTTCAATTGATAATTTTGAAAAGTATTGCACATTTGTTTAACAAAAATTTGAGTTCGTTGTCATAATACATTTTTCTCAAGTTATAAATAAAAATATAAAAAATAAAAACGATAGACAGTTGATAGATATGAATTCAAAATCATACCTTATCTTACGATTATAAGGTAATTATCATATTATACAACATTGTTTTGAATATTTATAACCATACGTACCTAAAATTGACAGAAAACATCATCTACTAGAGTAAAAATGAATTAAGAACGATCTCTTACTGTTTTTCTAAAAGCCTCGGATGTATTTGCCAATGGAAATATGTGACTCGCCACGTGACTACCACACCTCAGCGGCGCTTGAGCAAAGAAAACCCCGGTACGTTGAGCCCGGTGACGCGTACAGGTTATTAGACACAGAAAGTCAGGTCAGTCCAACATGAAAAATACATACTTACACGTTGACCAATAGGTATCATTGTCATTTGATGAAACATTTCATTACTTTTAAAAATAATTAGTTTCATATGATTGACAGGTACATGTATATGAAACAAATGCTATGTTTAGAGTCAATCAAAGAAAATTATCAGATGCTATGTTTTCGAACTTTGACTATTTAAGGTAAAGGCTAACAGATTTTTACTACTCTTACTACTGTGGAAAATTCGTTAAAAACCTTTCTAAAGAAATACTTCATAAAAATCTTATTTTGCAAAACCTTTGACAGAATTGCATGTGTTCGTAATCTTTAAGTTACAAAACCTACACTTTACCAATGTCGCCTTCAAGGAATTATGCAAACACCGCCGCAAACCGAGTGTCAAGCTTAAAGCTTATGGGCAACAAATCAAAAAAACACTTGATATGGAAAGTAATTCTTAGCCGGAAAAACTTCTTTTGGCTGCTTCATCTTCTATATAGAAGGGAAGATACCCCTAGTAATAAAACAAAAACAAACACAAAACAAAACAAAACATATTTTTGGGACGAACTATTCTTCGCGATTAGTGTTGGAATATATTCTGGATAAATACTTTAATTATATTTACTACTTTTAATTAAAGGATGATTTATTATGCGTAACAAAATTTAATTCTAAAATATTTAAGTAATTCCCTTTTTGTAAATTATTCAAAAGCGCACGTATTAAGTTTTGCTGTATATACATATATATATATATGTATGGACATATCATAATTCAACCAACCTAATTTGAGCAAATTGTAACATATGAGTGACTTAATTCAACCTTGGGTATGTCATTTGTGACATTCGTGTATATTGAATGACAAAATTTCAATAAACTGCGTGTTTTCTGATTGCGAGACTCAATTATTTCATGAGTATCTTAAACTGTTTAATAATGTGAATAATTCATTCAGTCATGTCTTTTTTTTACATCCTTAGCTTTATATCCGACGCCCAAGGTTGTCAACACGACACAGCGACATGTTTGGGTATGATTGTTGTTATGTTTAGTAAATATACTGTATACTGGTGAACAATTATATAACCAACCTGTAATGTGAAATTGCAAATCTGTTATGGAAACATTTTCTAATAACTTTCATTTCAACGTTTGTCAATGCCCCTATGAATTTCTGAAACGTTACTATCAATGCTGACAATGTTGTTTTTTGTAAATGTAAGTATGGCTCAAAAATGTGCAAAAAACATTTGAATTTTTATCTCGCGTTAAAATTACTGCAAATTCATCAGTCGTACCAATATCATAGACCACTGTTGTTTATTGCAATAAAAACGACCATGCAGTACAATGTCTTGTGGCAATCTTGATTAAATGATAAGAAAATTTCGACTCATGGATACTTCTTTAAATATATCGATCGTTAGATTAGCATATCATGTTGTTGCTTATTAGCGTTAAACAATAAAAGCAATAGTATTGATCGAGTGGTCAATGAACATTTATGTTGATTTAGCTTAACAAGTAAAACTCAACCCGAATGAATTGCTTTTGTCATCCTGCATAGATTCATTCGTTAAATTTTGATAAAAAAATAATTATGCTGTTTTCTATATTACAGGTACCGGGAACGCTTCGTTTAAGATTTGTTTGTATGACATTTATACGCGAATTTATTAACCTGCAACATTATTGAAGGATTCTCATAGAAAAGTTTGTTCATGATTTCATGTGGTCAGGCGTGTGAACATTTGAGACACACTATAATTAACAGGTTAGCTATTTCGCTAATAAGTTGTCAATAAAGCTCATTAATTTTGTCTGTGATATAAAAACGATGGACTAAAGACGAGGACAACACTTGTGTGACTTCGGTCAGCTTACCAATGGAAGTTCCACTGCAGCACTCGTTGTATGGAATATATGTGAACGGCACTGCAGCACTGGAATGTATGGAATATATGTGAACGGCAGTGCAGCACTGGAATGTATGGAATATATGTGAACGGCACTGCAATATATGGAATATATGTGAACGGCACTGCAGCGCTGCAATGTATGGAATATATGTGAACGGCACTGAAGCAGTGCAATATATGAAATGTATGTGAACGGCTGGCTTATCGGCTATCATTTAAATGGTAAATTCGGATATATCTCGCCTGCTGGACAGGAGAACAGGAACTAGAGATAGAGAAGCTGACTTGATGGAACTGTATTATTCGGTGTTATTGGACATATGTTAAAAGTATCAAAAACCAAATATTTTCAATTCAGCAATAAGGTGATTCAGCGATATATTTTTATAAATTATTAACATTAATATGTTTTTGATATACGCGTGCCTAAATAATCAATGTGTTTTTGTTTATATATCCTAAATTCTCGATAATAAGGCGCTGCTTATATATCATGTAAGGAATATTTCGAAACAAGTCTATTTTCAATGCCCTCTTACTTTCGAAGTATATTAATGAGTTGGCAGTATATGGCTTATTTTTAAAATTCAAAGCCTTTTAGCAGGTTCAAACATGAACTCAAAGGCTTATTTTTTTACGACTGGCCTACTATTTTACAAGTTTGAGATGAATTTGACTGTAAGGAATCAAGGACTTGTTAAGGCCGGCTTATCTTCCAGTCAGGATCGATATTTTAGGTTATGTATATGTAATATTATCATTTTCAACCAAATTGTACTTGTATATGAGTTCCTTACATAAACAGATTGACATTTTTTCATATAAC